CACTGTTGAGTTTTCCAAACTTGCTGGCATATTGAGTGCAGCACCTTAACAGCGTCATCTTTTAAGATTTTAAGTAGTTCAACTGGAATGCCATCACTCCACTGGCCTTGTTGTTAGCAATGCTTTCTAAGGCCCACTTGACTTCGCTCTCCAGGATGTCTGGCTCAAGGTTAGCAACCACACTATCTGGGTTGTCTAGGATATCCAGATCTTTCTGGTATAATTCCTCTGTGTATTCTTGCCACCTCTTCTTGATGTTTTCCGCTTCTGTAAGGTCCCTAACATTTTTGTCCTTTATCATGTCCATCTTTGCACAAAATGTTCCTTTAATAGCTCCAATTTTTTAACAGATCTCTGGTTTTCCCCTTTCTATTATTTTCCTCTATTTCTTTGCAATGTTCATTTAAGAAGGCCCTCTTCTCTCTCCTTGCTATTCTTTGGAAATCTGCGTTCAATTTTCTGTAACATTCCCTATCTCCCTTGCATTTTGTTTCCCTTCTCTTCTCTGCTATTTGTAAGGCCTCGTTGGACAGCCACTTTGCTTTCTTGCATTTCCTTATCTTTGGGATGGTTTTTGTTGCTGCCTCCTATACAGTGTTACGAGCCTCCATCCATAGTTCTTCAGGCACTCTGTCCACCATATCTTGTTCCTTAAATCTGTTCTTCACTTCCACTGTGTATTTATAAGGGATTTGGTTTAGATTATACCTGACTAGCCCAGTGGTTTTTCCTACTTTCTTCAGTTTAAGCTTGAGTTGTGCTATAAGAAGCTGATGATCAGAGCCACAATCAGCTCCAGGTCTTGTTTTTGCTGACTGTATAGAGCTTCTCCATCTTTGGCTGCAGAGAATATAATCAATCTGATTTCGGTATTGCCCATCTGGTGATGTCCATGTGTAGAGTTGCCTCTTGTGTTGTTGGAAAAAAGTTTTTGTGATGACCAGCTTGTTCTCTTGACAAAACTCTATTAGCCTTTGCCCTGCTTTGAGCTCCAAGGCCAAACTTACCTGTTGTTCCTTTTATCTCTTGACTCCCTACTTTAGCACTCCAGTCCCCTAAAATAAGAACATCTTTCTTTGTTGTTAGTTCTAGAAGGTGTTATAAGTCTCCATAGAATTGGTCAATTTCATCCTGTTAAGTCTACCCTATGCCTATTCAACTCCTGGGATCTGTGAAGTACTCAGACAACAGTTTAAAAAGACCTCTGCCAATTTTGTAAGAGAGCTAAAGCCAACAGCTCACTGTGTACAAGGCAGTGTTCTCCACCCCCACCCTTCCAAATTCTCCAAATGTACTGGCTGGAGATGAGGAGGTTGCAATGCAACACATCTGGACAACACCAGGCTGGTATAAGGAAATTGTGCCTGTTGAACCATCATAACAGAAATTCTGGTATGTAATAACATCCTTAAAAGCCTCTGAGCTACTATACAAATAGCAGAATGTCTTGCATCTCTAAAGACCAACAAATTGACTCTGGTGGAAGTATTACGTTATTAGCAGAGATATCACCATACACATGACCACTCCTGATTAAATTGATTAGGATTTCTTTATTTAACTGAAACTCCTGGAAGTAATTGGTTACATCTGGCCAGATACACCCTACATGTCCTAACATGCATCACCATAGAGATACTATCTCTCATGTGAGAAAAGAGAAAGAACAAACTGAGAAGTCAGATAATAACAGCACAGTGTTGCTCCTGCAGTCCCCTGAGAAAAGGCCGTGGCATATTCCACAGTGAGCAAAGCAAGATTTTGTGGTACAGGATGGGAGACATAAATAACTTGTTTTATTTCACATATGACTTTAAAAAAATTAAAGAATCCAGCATTGTTCCCAAAGCTATAGCACTGCAAATGCTGCCAGATTTGTTTCTTTTTATTTTGGTGTTTAATTGCCAAGCTTCTCAGCTTTGCCCATAATTCTCTTCCTGCAAAAATCACAGCAGCGACTGAGACTGATACACTGGTAGCTGTTTTCAGATCCCGAGGCTCTGGGCTGTCAATTCCAGTGCCTGCTGAGGAGCGCTGCACCAATTCTACTTCAGCCCCATTTTTTTCACT